TTCGATCTTCTCGTCCCACGAAAAGCTAGTGGACACTTCGTGCGGCGTGGAAGGTGCTGTCGTGTACAGGACGGAGCGGAGGTCGCCTCGGTCCATCCACTCGAGGACCATCTGCAAGTCGGAGGGAGTCCGCCAGCTCGCACCGAGCAGCTGGACAATGTACGGACTCTGCATGCTACAGGATTCCTTGCAGCATTCACTCGAGTGGAACCTGCTACTGTACGTTGAGGCCAATAAGATCTCTTCGGCGAGGTTGGCCAGTGCGACGCGCGATGCTTTGCCTGGCAGTAGCCGCTTGATGGCCACCGTGTCGCCTACATGTCGTCCGTGGAATGCTAAGAACTATCACTACTGCTAAACCTTGGTAAGTGCCGCGCCACACTTGCCCATACGCGCCTTCGGCCACATAGTCGATCGCCTGGAGCAGCGCCGTATCCAAGCGCAGCATCGAGAGATCCTAGTGCAACGTATGAGTTGTTTGCACTGTCGCAACCAAAGACAAGAGGATGTCTACTGCAGGAATGGCGGCGTTGTCCCCGGGGTCGGAAGCGTCGTCAGTGGCACTGACGTCCTTGTACTCGTCGTGCTTGGACCTAGCTGGCCGTTTGACGCGAAATTGTCTCGCATACAAGTGCTGTACGACGTTGCTCTGTTGCGACGTCGCTTGAAGAAGGCAAAGCCAATCGCACTGAGAAGCGATACGGTCGCAATGACGATGCCGCCAACGGCTGCGCCGCTGACACCCGCCATCCTGCTTGGTGGTAGCATTGACTCTATGAGCACGCGTCAGCACATGGAGCAGATAGCACGAGTACGACGACGTACGGGGCGTCACGCAGATCGTCGACATGGATTCCGTCGTCGCGAAAGGATAGGTTGTATTCACCTCGCGCCGGGTGTTGGGCAGACTGCACGTCGCATGGATGGCATGTGCCAGATGCGATCGCAGTGGCGTCCGGGCTTGAAGCACGCGGTACGTTGCCGGGTCGACCGTAAATGTGGTGAGCTTGTCGCCGTCGAGTACCCTACACATGCCTTCTGTACGCGGTCCTTGGAGACAGTAGAGGTTGTAGCGACTGACAGTGAACGGACGTCGGTCCCGAGCGAGATGTTGTACACCGTGGTGACGGGGTTGACGGCAAAATCCCTAATGACCATCTCGCCATGCTTAAATTTGGAGGAGAGGGCTCGAACTTACATGTACAGCACGCTTCGCAGGTCGAGGTCTTGCAACGTCTCAATCTCGTTCGCAGCCAACGTCCTAATAACGATGCATGGGCGCAACTACATGGCAAGCGCGACGCGTACAATGTGGTGAGCTTGGGCACCGCCGTGAGCTTGGGCACCGAGCGCAATCCGGCATTGCTGATTACTCTAACATTGCGAGGTTAGCGTTCATGTTGATGGACCATAGCGGACAGCGTTTGCAGCGAACGGGGCCAGACCACGCTCGAGACGTCCAAGGTAGCATTGTTGTACTCGATCAAACTACGCCGAGCAATAAAAGGTCCCGTCGCATCTGTGACGAGTTGTACAAGCCCGTCACGTTGGACGCGGATGAAAAGTCCCCGAGCGACTTGACTGCCGCATTCTTGAACGCGCTGTCGACAAAGTGAGACTCAAAGAGGTTTTCAACGCGTCCTACATGGCGAGATTCGGCACCTTGGCTGGTAGATCGGCCACATGCTCGACGGAAACATCTATATATCGACACTGCGATCGATGGCTGCGTTTGGAGGCATGGCAACGTACTGACAATCTCAAGCGTCATCCCAAGATTGTCCACGACCGAGTCGAGTCGAAACGCGTCCGTGTCGTACTCCTTGACGATCTACATCCAAAGTGGGCGTCGACTGCCGTAGTACGACTTACTACCTTGCAGTTCTTGTCGACAATGCAATAGGATAATCCATACAGCGGAGCGCAATCGGTCGTCGCTGTCGTCGCGTACTGACTGAAGCGACACGGCGGGCTCAGCGCCCACGACGTCGCTGCCAGGAGCATCTATGGAATCGACGTGCTTATCGTCATAGCCAGTGGAGTCGTCCTTATCTGCACACGTACTATAACTGGCAGGCCGAACGCAGTAAGCATAGGTCGAGACCAAGGTCGAGACGTCCCCACGAGGTACGGTGTAGTGAAATGGGAACTGACATCTCGGAAAATGCACCAAGAGACATGTCGCACACCATTATTATCAAGATGTTCTCAATGGACCAGCGCAGTCGCACGGAGCGCTGATGGAGCCTGGAATCCCATCACGTTATCGTAAGGGGTTTTATACCGTTGGTATACTTGTAACAAACGACTAACAGTGAAGCCCTCGGCAGAGTGAAGAGGAAGAACCACAAGGGAAGAAATAAGTCTTATTTTTCCCTTGAAGAACCAGAACCGCAACCGCACCCCCAGCATTTGCCGCCAGAGGAGTGTGGCCCAGGGGGCTGGATCGAACGGCATCAAAGAGTCGTGCTCTTCGAGTTCGCGATCGTGGAGTTGCGATCTTGACAGATTGGACAAAGCATGTCCAGCTAGGGTCTTTATTTCATCGAGCCCAGCGCACCATCCTCCGCTTCCTCCTCTGTGTACGTTGAGTGCAAGTGCTCTGCGTGACCCAAGTCAACGGTCCAGGGGCAGGACAGGGTTGGCGTTGGTGCAAATGACTTTGATCGAGCGGACTGCGTGACCAGAGCCTCCAGAATCGCATCGCGTCGACCACCAGAAGACTCGAACTCTGACGCAGTGTACATCATAGAGGCGTGAGCCATGCCATCTCCACCGTGATTGTATTTGTGCTTCATAGACGAAGCCACTCGATGGCATCGAGATCGCTTGGTTGAGCAGCGGCCAAGGTACCAGCGCTTGCGACGAGAAAGACCGGCATCCCGTTGGACACCAGACTGGTATCTGCGGTCGTGATCACATCGAGGCGAAGCAGAGGCTTTGTTTGGCTCCGTGGAGCTCGTAGGTCAGCGAGATGCTACGGGCCGAGGCCGGGAGCGCCGCAAGGAAGACCTCGGGGTCCTTGGCTGCAGCTGTGTACTGAACGATGGACACGAGGACGTGGTTGAGATTGTGGTTGCTCTTCATGATGAAATTGATTCAGCGGGAAGAGGTTTCGCCCTCGAACTCAATCTCAACGCAGACAACTAACTCAATGGTGCAAGTCTCTACCATGTCAAGACGTGACTTGATGGTTCCGATGCCAACGCCAATGGGAAAGAGAAGAAAGGGGCAACACCCACGGGGCTCGAACCCCGCACCTCTTCCGTGTGGAGCAGGAATCCGCCGACTCTGGTGCAAGTCTCTACACGCCTGCATACCATGGCCGATCGCTCCTTGGCGTGTTGCCTCCCCATGGTAGGCTGCACTGTGTTCCTCTACTGGTAGCTGTGTCTGGTAGCATCCGAGTCAGACGCATCCAAGGCCAATCAGAACACGGAAAACGAGCCAAAAACAAATATGTATACCACGCAACTAGGAGAGGTGGAAGCTCAGCTGGCCTTCGCGGATGCAGTACAGAAGTTTGGAGCGCAAAATGTCGATCGAGCTGTAGTCGGGTAGCTTGAGGTAGTTGGTGCACGTCGAGGCCGACGGCAGCATCTCGTCGCTCGCAGACGACTCGTCCGGGCTCAGCTTGCGCACGACCGTCAGCGTTGGCGAGAGCTTTCCAAGCCCACCGAGCGGCAGGCGATGCGACCCCGTGACGAAGCGCACAAAGAGCCGCTGGTCGTCCGGCGTCAGCTCCGTGAGCACTTGGACGAGCCAGCGGATGGCTCGGCTCTCGCTAGTGTAGCCGTGGTCGCACACCATGTGCGCTTGGAGCTCGTCGGCGCCGCCGGGCCAGAGCTCCGTCGTCGGGTCCGAGAGGAGCGCGAGCCAATCGTCGGCCGACAAGCAGTAGAGCGCGTCCATTGGCACGAGACTGCCAAAGCCCGCGCGGAAGGCCGCGACTTGGTCGTGGATCGACGATTCCAGAAGCATCTCGAGGCTGGCGCGCACAAACTCGGCCACATTGCCCCGGGTCACCGCCACGGCGGCGCCGCCTTCGCATAGTTCCACGTCGGCGTTACCCAGTAGCACAAAGCTCAGGCCCATTTCGTCGATCGCTGGGTCGTCGCGGTGGGTGTGCAGATAGTCCAGCGACGCGCCAATCGCAGGGTCCACCGCCCGGGCATGAGCCAGCGCCGCGTCGATATCGCCCACTAGCGACTCACCAAGTAGCGCTAGTACAAAAGGTCGTGCCAGCGGCAGGTCGAGCAGCCGTTCGTCCAAGAGGGCCTACATAAAACATCAGGATCGGCACAGAATCGCACATCGCATCGTGGTACCTGCGCCACGAGCTTGCCCAAAAACGTAAACCAGCCAAGGACGGTCGCCTTGTGCTCGTCACTGGACGGCAGCGGCGCCGGGTACAGACCTTGCGGCGCATGTACCATGGACACATCTGCGTTGAACGACGCGTCAATGCCGAGGCCGTCGACTTGCGTGTCGAGCACTTCGGGCGTCGTCGGACCAAGGGCGACGAGGACATCGACCGCCGACTTGTCCAGTTGTACGTTGATCTACCACCAATGTCTCACTACAGAAAGGGTCATGGATCGTCCGATCGTACCTGCCTGAGCGGCGTGCCTTCGCAGAGCGCCGACACGTGCTTGGTTACGGCGCGGTAGTCGCGCTCGTACATCCGGCGGCCCGACCGCGACACCATGCGGTCACCGTTGAGGACGACGATGCCAGAGTCGGTGCCCGGGAAGCTCACCGTATGGCAGTGGCTGCACTTGAGCACAGGGTGGCGGATGCTCGCCTTCTGCCGCGGGTACGCACGCGCCAGGTACGCCACTTCGTCGTTGCTCAAAATCCAGAACGAAAGCGTCATCTCCTTGGCCTCGCAACTCGAAGTGGCACACGTCATTGACGGCGGCGCGTCACAGCTCGCACAGACCCCATCGTTGCCGGTACAAAGACTCTTGCAGTTCGTGCAGTGCGGAAAGCTCACGACGGCGCAGGAAGGGCAGTGCAAGACCGCGATGCGGTGGTAGCCGCGCACGGGCATCGCGTGCGCAGTGAGCGCCTTGTCGTCGTCGATGCTGACCTTGCGCTCGGTCATCGGGCCGTCGTGGCGCCAGAGGCGGAGGTGCTGCGCCTGGACTTCGCGCGACACGAGCGAGAAGAACTCGGTCGTCGGGCCGAGACCGGTGCCGACTTCACCGAGGTACTCGATCTCGATGATCGCCTTCATGCCGCCGTACGCGTGCAGGAGCTTGCTGGCCGATGCGAGGAGCTTGGCGCGGGCGACGCGGACTTTGAGACGCGGCAGTTTGGCGACCCGAGAGATGGCCGTCGAGAGCGCAGTGTCGGGCGACCCCGATGGCCGGCGCACCGCGCGCTTCCAGAGCGTCCGTCCGAGGTACTGCAGCGCGCGGGCGGGCCCGAACCGGGTCCCGTAGAGGTAGTGCAGTTTCGTCTCCCGCGGCAAGATAAAGGCGTAGTCGTTCACGATGCGGCGGCAGCTCCACGGGAGCAGCTGGAGCACGACGCGCATCGGCTGCAGGAGACACATGTCAACGTACGCCGCGACCGCCGGCTGCGCCACGTCGACGGTCGGTGCCTCCTTTGCAAGCACCGCAAGCAAGTCCAAGTACGCCCAGAGGCTTGACGTCGTCGCGGTATTTTCTGCTGCCGGCGTCTCGGACATAGCATCGATGGCATCGACACTATCCCCGTCCGTCGCACCACGGGGTACAAACGCGAGCACTTGCGGCGCTTGCCAGAGCGCGCCAACGTCGACGGGCGACCCGCGCGGCGCCGAGCGCACAAGCGCCTCGATGACGGTCCACTCGGACGACACGGGTTTGCCGCCGAGTAGCACTTGCATGCGCGAGGGTGGCTTGGGGCCAAAGGTGTCGGGCTCGTCGTCGTTGGTCGAGGCGTCCTCTGCTCGGACGGGATCGGCCTTGCCAAAGACCTTGTCCGCCACAAACTCCTCCAGCGTCTCGATGCGCGCGAGGGGCTCGACAAGCACGACAGCGTCGAGCGGTTTGGTCGACGACTCGGCCCGCAGACGCATTTTGAGGTGCTGGCCGAGAAGCTCCACCATCGGAAGCGTCGAGCCGAGGCCCGTCAGAGTCGCATCGTTGCTCACCTGGAGGTTCTGGACCTCGACACCAATCGCATCGCGGAGCACCGACGCCAGAAGGGGCCACTGCGTAAACGCGGCCGCCGACGACGGTAGGCGCGTCAGAAGCGAGGGCACGAGCCCGCTGGCCCGGAGCTCGTACGGTGTCGGAGTCTCCTTGGCGAGGAGCGTATGCAGGTGCTGCCATGCCGCGTCGGCATTGTCCATGCTGACAATGTGGCGGAGCGCATCCAGGACGGCACTTGTCGTGGGTGCGGACGCAAACAATGTGGTGACGAGCGGCGCGTACGTCGGGTTGGCCGCGAGGGCTTCGACGACGCCGTCGCGGACGAATACCGGTGCATAGACGGACGGCGCATGCGTCATGGCGAGCACAAGGAGCGCTTCGGCCAGCGCCATCTCGTTCGGGTCGTTGCGCTGGACGCTGGCTGCCACAAAATGGCAGATAAGACGGTCGTGCCGCAAGACGCCGTGCGAAAGGAACGTCACGAGCACGTGGAGTTGCCCGAGGTACTTGGCGTCGTGCGTCGCGTCGTAGGACGCAAAGAGGGAGGGCAAAACGGCCTCGACGAGGCCAGAGACGGCCTCGACGTACGCCGACGAGGCATGCGCCGCCGGCAAGATTGCGCCAACGAAGAAGAGCGCTTCGTCGACGAGCTGCGACGACGCAGGCGACGAGAGCACGGCCAGGAGCACGGCGCGCACGGCTGCGTTCGACACAGTCGAGGAGGACTCGCGCAAGTGGCACATGGCGCCAAAAAGGTGCAAGAGGGACGCGTACGTCGTTGGCGCCAAATTGTCGGGCCGCCGCGCCTGCGTATACGTGACGAGCTGCTCCAGGAGGTAGGCTTCAAGCGGCGGATCGACGACAAGATCGAGCAGCGACGGCGTCGCCTGCACGCACGGGCTGTCACAGAGCCTAGAAACGCCACATTGAAACCTAGAAATGTTGAAGTACAAAGGAGACAACGCACCGCTGGAGCGCTTCGCAGCCCGAGCCGACGATCTGCGCGTCGTACGATTTCGTGAGGTTGTGCAAGAGCGGGAGCGCGGCTTCGACGTGCGTCCAGGACGCATCGGGGACGGCCGTGCAGAGGAGCGCCGCTGTACGCGCCGCGCCGCGCTGGACGTCGGTGGAAAAGAAGTCGACAAACTGGAGCAGCGCCACAAGCGCATTCTCCTCGAGGACGAGGGACCGGACGCCGTCGGCCGTCGATGTCGCAATGCGCTCGAGCATGCGCAGCGCAATCTCGGCCACGTCCATGTACTCCATGTTGAGAAGCTTCTCGCAGAGACTCGCGACAACGTCTGACTGCAGCGCAAGGTCCAGCACGGTCGGCGACGTGTACATGTCGAGGAGCCCGGCGAGGGCCCGCGAGGCGTGGAGCAGCACGTCAATGGTCGCGGGCGACTGAATGAGGGCCGCGAGCACCGGGACAAATGCCTGCAGGTCAAAGCCCGCGATCGTCAACATCTCCTCCGTTGTCATCGAGAGCATCTCGACGAGGTCCGCGAGGCTCGCCTACACCGCCATACTAGCCGTAAGAAACGAGAAAACCATTCTGGTCCAAGTACCGTTTGGACATTGACGGGGCTTCCGGGCTTGATGCGCTCGAGCAAGTCGCAGTATTGCGGGTTCAGGCCAAAGATCTATACCATAGGAGGCGGTCATGAGCCATGCCACGTCAGGCGAACGGCGACGATCAGTCTACCGGTAGATCCGTGCCCAGTTGCCCCAGCAGGCCTTTCAGAGAGGTGAGGCCCATCGTCCTAGCGTCATGGTGTACCTCGGAGCGCCTGCGGCAGGTCCGTCGTCTGCTGCGAGAGCGCGCGGAGCGTCCGAAGGAGCTCGTGCTCGGACATGCTTTCGTCTTCGTTGTCGCTCATGCTGTTGCTCTGTGCGTCGCCGCTTGCCCCAATTTATCCGGATGACAGAAAAGGGTGCTTCCCGTTGGCTAATTCCACGCCACAATGCCATGTTCACGACGATTCCACGCCGCATTGTGCATCCCGTCCTGTGCATCGGCGTCCAACACAGGCAGAGGCTGCGTCAGCATGGAGAGCCGACGACGATGTCCCACGTATGAAGAAGTCACCCAAGCATCGGCGCGACGGGCGAACGAACGAACGAACCGACCAGAAGACCAAGTCGACGATCGTCATCATCGTGGATCGTCGCCCCATCCCCGCTGTCGCGATCGAGCTGTAGAGGAGGATCGGTGGCACAGGTCTTTGCGACGCCTAGTAATCCGCCGAGCTGCGGACCCGCGCTACATCTGCAACGGGGTCGTCTTGGGTGCATGGGGAGAGGAGCGGGATCGGCAGTGGATTTCTAGGGACATGAAGGGGTGCCACGACTTGATTCATCGTTCCAAGGCTTGCATCATACACGAGTACACTAAGCTTTATAACCTCTTCCTTACATCAAATTACGCGTGGAGCTTCTTCGTGAGGTTGGCAGCGATCGCATCGAGGAACTCGAACGTGTTGAGCCAGTGCTTGCGCTCCATCTTGTCTTCGTGGATGAGGAGCGCCAGGTCCTTGGTCATCTGGCCGGCCTCGACCGTCTCGACAACGGTCGCCTCGAGCTGCTCGCAGAACGTCTGGAGCTTGTCGTTCTTGTCAAGCTTGGCACGGTGCATGAGGCCGCGCGTCCACGCAAAGATGGACGCGATCGAGTTGGTGCTCGTCTCGCCGCCCTTCTGGTGCACGCGGTAGTGGCGCGTGACGGTACCGTGGGCCGCCTCGGCTTCCATCGTCTTGCCATCCGGCGTCAAAAGCACCGACGTCATAAGGCCGAGCGAGCCAAAGCCCTGCGCGAGAATGTCCGACTGGACATCGCCATCATAGTTCTTGCACGCCCAGACAAAGCCACCCTTGGACTTGAGGCACTGCGCGACCATGTCGTCAATCAAGCGGTGCTCGTACCAGATACCGGCCGCCTTGTACGCCGCCGCGTACTCGGTGTCGTACATCTCCTGGAAGACGTCCTTGAACATGCCGTCGTAGCGTTTCAAGATCGTGTTCTTCGTCGAGAGGTACAGCGGCATCTTGCGGCTGAGCGCATACTCCAAGCACGCGCGCGCAAAGCCCGTGATCGACTCCTTCGTGTTGTACATGCCCATGCCGACGCCGCCGGCCGCGTCCGCAAACTGGTACACCGTGTACTCTTCCGTCTTGCCGTTCGAGTCTTCGGGCGTGAACGTAATCTTGAACGTGCCCTTGCCCGGCGCGACGAAGTCGAGCGCCTTGTACTGGTCGCCAAACGCGTGACGGCCAATGATGATCGAGTCCTTCCAGCCCGGCACAAGCTTCGGGATGTTCTTGCACAGGATCGGCTCGCGGAAGACAGTGCCGCCGAGCTCGTTGCGGATCGTGCCGTTGGGCGACTTCCACATCTGCTTGAGGTTGAACTCCTCGACGCGCTGCTCGTCGGGCGTGATCGTCGCGCACTTGATGCCGACGTTGTGCTTCTGGATGGCGCGAGCAGCGGCGAGCGTGACCTCTAATTCGCATGATGATGATGAGCATGGTCGGCGAGGTCATTAGGTCGTACCGTCGTTGGTCTCGTCACGGTACTCGACACCCAAGTCAAAGTACTCGGTCTTGAGGTCCAAGAACGGGAAGATCAACTACATGATGCATGCTGCTTAGCGCCAAGCACATGCACATGCCTGTGTCTACCTTGTCCTTGATGAGCTGCCAGATGATGCGCGTCATCTCATCGCCGTCGAGGTCGACGATCGGGTTCTCCACGTGAATCTTCTCAAAAGCCATCTTTGCACGTCCAAGCAAAAGCCAAAATGAGCAAAAACGAAGAGAACATCCTTCGGCACACAAATTCTGGTAGGTTTGTAATAACATCCGGATAATGATCGTCCGGATAAGCATGCCATATCAAGTCTGAGAGAAGCATGTGGTCGTGGCGCCGTCTACTTCAACTTGATGCGGTTGCCGTGCCGCGCCCCGAAACTTTGTACTTGCTTTTTGTATGCGCGCCCCGCCATGCTGCGCTTCGCGAAATCGGCGGCCATTTCAAACCCTGCAGTCCATCGAGCGCCGGCCGGCTTGTTGACCGCAGACGTCAGCCGCCTCGTCGCTGTCCATAGCCTCGTCCATATCCGAAGCTTCCTACATTAGGGTACGCTGGCGATGGGGCCATCCAAACTGATCCGGTGGAAGGGACGCGTCCGTTGCCGTGGCTACTCAGATAGGGCTCGGCGCCGAAGCATGGTGAAGGGCGCGACGGCGGTGTGAAAATCACGCTGTACGGTCCACGATCTTGCCACCCATTGGTGATTCTCACGTGAAAATCGACAGAGGCGCGTCATCCTTTCTCCGGATATCAGACAATGTATCCGTATCCGATGCTCAAAAAAGCAACCAATCATCGCACCGTCGTCGACGTCATGCGCAGCGCGGCGATGATGACGGTCGTCCGCCGCCGTGCGATGAGCAGCATGGCGGCGTGGAATCGAGCGGACGTTGAAGTCTCGATCGGCAGCGTCCGCACCGAGTGGCGCAATGGCGTCCGGCGGCTCGCCGCCTTTCCCGCGCTGCAGCACTTGGCGCTCGAGACCGCGGCCTACTTTACGGACCCGGCCGACATCGATTTTGGCTACCCGCGCACGTTTCGCACCCAGTACACGCTCGGCAAGCAGCTCGGCGAAGGTGCCTTTGGCACTGTGTACCAAGTGGCACCCAAGGACAACGCCGTGACGCTCGACTTGGCGGTCAAGGTCATCCAGAAGGACCGGCTCGCGTCGCGCAAGGACTTTTTGGCGCTGCGCCAAGAAGCCCGCATCATGATGCTGCTTGGCGGTACGCTCAATGTCGTCCACTACTTTGGCGCGTACGAAGACGAGCGCGCGGTCTACCTCGTCATGGAGCACTGCGTCGGCGGCGAGGCGTATGCGCGCATGCATACGGATGTTGCGACCGAAGCAGACCGCGCCGCCTCCTACATGCTCAACGTCCTCCACGTCGTGTGGCAGTGCCACCTTCTGGACATCTTGCACGGCGATCTGAAGCTTGAGAACTTTCTGTTTGCCGACGACCAAGTCGACTCGCCGCTCAAACTCACCGACTTTGGCGGCGCCGCCTTTGTCGTACCAGATGCAGTCGTGTCGGGACTCCGGGGTACGCCCTTGTACACGGCGCCCGAGGTGCTGCAGGGCAACTACGCGCTGCCCGCCGACATGTGGTGCGTTAAGTGGCATGCATCGACTTCAAGCGTTTCTGATGATATATGCTCGCATCTTTAGGAGCTGCGGGGTCATTTTGTATCGGCTCTTGAGTGGGTCGTTCCCGTTTGAAGGCGCACTCCTCGACGAGCAGATCTTGCATGCGCCCATCGATGTCGAATCGGGCGTCTGGGTGAACGTCTCGCCCGACGCCAAAGATCTGGTCGGACTCGTCGATCAAATGGGAGCCCTGTGGCTGATGCAATGGTGCTTGTAGGTACGCAAGCTTTTGGAGCGAGACCCTCGTACGCGGTTGAGCGCGCACGAAGCGCTGCGCCACCCGTGGATGGCGCAAGCGTTCCAGGAGCGCAAAGACGCACGCAGGCAGGTCCCGCGCCACCTCGGCGGCACCATGATCCAGCGGCTGCAGCTCTACCGCACCCTCAACGGCTTCCAGCAAGCCGGTACTACCACTCTTCGTCGTGTAGGTTCGTGACACTTGGTGCTAGTCTTTATCGAAATGACCAAGCGCGTGCCCAAAGCCAGCAAGGTCGAGCTCGCGGTCCTCTTCTCCGAGATCTGTGTGGACGGCGCGTCCTCGATTGGCGTCAAGGACCTCGCGCGCGGCTTCCAGAACGGCGGCTACAAGTACGCGCGCCCTCTCAAACGCCATGGAGCGTAGTTCGTGTAGGCTCACGTGGGGCGAGGTCAAGAGCTTCCTGAGCCGCATGGACATTGACGGCGACGGCGTTGTCTCGTTTGATGAGTTTTGCTGCGCGTTTCTTGACTGGCACGCGATCCAGCAAGACTCGAGCGTGTGGCGAACGCTCGTTGAAACCGCGTTCGACACCTTTGACACGGATCGCGACGGCAAGATCCACGTCGCCGACCTCGTCCCGCACATGCCAGGTACGCGACGTTGATACATTGATACAGTTCCAAGCGGGCTGTAGTGCGCATGGTGCACACGTTCTTGAGCGACGTGCAGCGCTGCTTCGCGCACGCCGACTCGGACAAGGACGGCGCGATCAACTTGATCGAATTCGAGCGCATTCTTCTCGTGCAGGACGAAGCGTGGGCGCGCTATGCGCCTCGGTACCTCTGGCATTAGGACCGCGTTTTTGGCTATCGACCGGATTTTCGATCGTTCAATACACTCCTATTTGTACAAGTTTGTTTTGTGTAGTTGTTTAAGGGCACACTGCGTGTACGAGAAGACGCGAGGCGAGTACTCTCGTAGTACTACGCGAAAAGGGCTTTGACGAGGCTGTAGAAGAGCAGCTGCGGACAGACGAGCAGCGCGATCGTCGAAAGCGGATAAATACCAAAGGGAAAGCGGACCAGCCAGAGCGTGGCGACAGCGCCGAGGACCCAGAGGAGGCTTGCAGACACCACGAGCACGCTGAGCTCGGCGGCTTTGGGAGCGGCTACACGCATCCACGGGTCATACGACGGCGCTATTAGCATCGTGGCGTACGTGGCGGCGGCAGCGGTGGTCGCGGCCGGCGCACACGGTGGTGCACGGACGTTGCCTCGCCATGCCAGATCCTAGCATTCGTTTGCATTGCGCTGGAGCCATGAGAGGTAGTAGCACATACGGTGACCCTGGAAAGATGGGGCGGGGGCGAGGTGTGGCGCTCGCGATCTAGTACCATCCATATCCCATCAACAGGGTCGTCCCATCCCACGTACGTGTGTTGGGCTCGGAAGGTCCAAGAGCGCCTCGGCAAGCTCAGGTGGGTCCACGCGCAAAGGTCCCGGGTCCATGCCCCGTCCATCGCCAGCCTGAAACTGCATTCAGATATAACGGACGTAGCGCGTGCGATCACGGGAGGCTGCCACGTCATGCAAGATTTTGGGGTGTAAGTTAAACTACACGTCTCCTGTCAAGTCGACAATGGACGGCTCGTCCGAGTCGGATATGAGAATGAGCTCGGCATTCGTGGTTTGTGTTGGCGCCGAAGCGACGGTCGCATCCTTGCTTGCAGCAGTACTTGCCGCGTTTGGAGGCTCTGGAGGGCTCTGGGACGGAGCGGTCCGCACGCGGCGCTTCTTCTTGGCGGGTGGCAGCAGCAGTGCCGACGAGGACGCATGCAGTAGCAGTGTTGCCCAATGCAACTCGTTGTCGCAGTACGGGCAATACCCGCGCTTCTCGCTCTGCGTCGGAGCGTCGTCGTCGTCGTCGTCGTCAGGAAAGCACTCGTGAGCGCAGTCAATGTGCGCGCGCATGGGGCAGTCGGCGTGATAGCACACGAGTCGCGCGTCACCCTCCTGGAACTGGCCAATGCAAATGGAGCACCTCGCGTCGGCGTCGTCGGCGTCATCGCTCGGTGGCCCGTGTGGTAGCGTGTCGAGACTGGCCACCTGCGTCGTCATGCCCGGAGGCAACTCATTTGGCGCGCTCGACGTTGCAAGCGTGTGCATCTCTACAGGATGCTGTCGTAGGACCAACGTGGGACCGGACATGCTTACCGAGCGACGTGAAGGAGAGCGTGAGCGAGCTCGTTCCATGGCGGAAGCGCCAAGATCAAGTAGAGTTCAATGAGCTTGCGTCGCACGGAGCGCATGCCGCCGTAGCGCTTGACGTGCTTGGCGCTGGCCATCGCGGCCTTGGTGAAGCGGCTGTTGTACGGGTGCTGCCACACGTACTCGACTACAATCTCCATCACGATATGCATCGCATCGAAGCGTACGTACACTGTAGTGCTTGCACCTTGGATGCAAAGCCATAGACAACGACAAGCATGTCCCTGCGCGCTCGCCGTGAGCGATGGACTCCATCGCCACGTACCATGGACGGTACTTGGCCGTCTTCTTCGCGCCCTGGACGATCTCGCCGTTGTGCTGACGCAGGCGCCGCTTGGGCGTCATCGTGAAGCCGACGTACGTGTGCTTCATGTGCAGCGACCGCTTGCCTGTCTGCGCCGGCGTCTGCGGCGTGAGGAGGTAGCACGCGAACATGGACGTATTCCGGCAATGGCACAACGCACTGCCATTGGCTGAAATCAAGTGGTATTTCCAAACAGAATCTTTTGGCAAAAATACACTGCTTTTAACAGAAAATATGTAGTCGCATTGAGTGCTTTAGGTCTAGGGGGTGGACGGCGAGACGCAGAGCCACGTGAGACCGTTTGTGGTCGGGAGATGGTACGTCTCGCCGTGGTCTTGCACGACGCGTGAGAACGGCAGTGGGTCGTGCAGCGTCACTTGGGCCACTTTTTTTTCAAAGTTCAAACTCACGCCAACACACGTCGTGTCCTTCCAGCGCTCGACGAGGTCCCGCCGAATGTTATGCTTCTCCTCGAGCGCTGAAATGTGGTCTTTGATCTCGTCGTTTGTGACGACGCGGACGCGGTGGCCATGGACGCCAGCCTTGGCGTCCAAGCTCAGGAGGTAGAACGTCGCGTACATCCAGTAGAGGTCATCGGACGCCACCTACGCCACATTGAGCATGATAGACAAGTTGTCTGCATTGCCTCTCGCCGCGCGCGGAATGCAAAATCGTCCGCTGCCCATGCGTCCAGAAAGGCCTTGTCTTCGGGCGTGCGCGTGCGAAAGTACCGCGTGCCCGACTTTTTCTACCCGGCAGATGACAACCTGCTTTGTCGGCTAGGAGGGGTCGTACGTAGGGGTTGCGGTTGGCGGTCTTGACGCTCAAGTACGAGACCTCTTCGAAATAATAGGCAGGCATCGTCGCCGACGCCACGTGGCCCTCGGCCTGAACGTGCTTGGCGAGCTGGTCAATGTAATCAAACCGGAATGCGCCGCCTACACACAAGCTTATGTCGACTTGATGACGGGTAGCAGGAGGCACACCTTCAAAGTTTTGGTTGAGGTACGCGACATTGGGAGCATCGACGATGTAGTGTAGCTTCCCCGGTGGTACCTACCATCCATTAGCTAGCCACAGATAGCTGGTATCGTACCATGGCGTGCCGGGTCGCTAGCCATTTCTCAAATGCACGCAGTGCTTTGAGTTTGGTTTCACGTGTCATGGGCGGCGGTGGCGTGGCCTTGGGGTCCGACGGGATGTACTGGCTCTCGACACACATAGTCTCGACGGCCTGCAGCAACGCCTCGAGTTCGGCGGGCGTCACAGGCAGCTTGGTCAGCGTTGCGTCGCAGTGCGCGCATGTCTAAACGCACGCCGCTGACGCGCGCATTCAGTTGGTCGAACGCACCGGTAGCATCTCGGCGTGGTCGAGTTGCGTCGTGGTGTAGCCAGGTCGGTCGCGCGTGATCGCCATCCACAGCGCAACGTCGTCGGGTGTGAGTTGATACCGCAGCGCGTTGAGCTCTTGCAGCACGTTCTGAAAGATACGCTGGTGGACGCCCAGTGCTTTGGACGCAAACAGAACCTAGACGTATCGTATCATATCGCAACAAAATGGTGGCTGCTCACCATGGTCGGGCCAACCTTCTCCGGAGGCTGCGTCGTGCCAATGGACTTGACGTACTCCCAAAACGACCAAGCTTTCTCAAGGTCGTTGGCTACACACCTCGATCAATCGACCGACTCGCCGCGAGACCAGACCTTGGATGTAGTGTTCCAGAAGGGGTGCGTACGATCGATAATGCGGCTGTACGTCCGGGTTCTTGGCGTGTTTCTTCTTGAGCAGCTCGAGCGCCAAGTCGGTGCGGTCTACGCAGCATCAACCGTGAGGACGAGGACAATAATGGCGGGCGGTTGCTGACCGGACTGCGTCAGAAGAGCCACCATGGACGAAAAGGCGCCTTCACGTGGCCCGGCGGCGTCGTGCTCGAGCACTTGGCTGAAGAAGGCGGCGACTTGGTCGACAAACGCGGGCGGCAGCGGCGCCTCTTGGAGACACGAGAAGAAAAACGCGTCGCAGCCCTTGATATCGTACGGCGACGTGCGCGTCTGGAGGATGCCAAAGGCCTCGTGCAGCGGAACCTTCTGGCGCCGAAGCAGGTGATGCATCTCGGGCGAGAAGCGCACGGCGCTCGACGCAGACCGGCTTCGAGCCAAGAGCGTCGCCCAAGATCCCCGCGCCAAGTGCAGCATCCTGAACGAAACCAGGAATTCGATGGCCCGCGTTTGATTGGGCACCTACCATCCGGATACGACCGGATACAGCTAAAATTGCCGCGCCAAGTGGCGACAACCACATTGACCGCCGTGGATCCATGCCGTGGATCCAGCACTGGCAGACCGTCCGTTGGACCTCTCCGCATGTCTTGCTTCGAGCTATGCGATGGTGCGATGGTGCGAAGAGAAATAGTTGAAGCGCATGTGACCGGCGGCCGGGGCATATTACATGCAGCAGGTCCATGAGGCTATCGCGCCACGTGAGCCTGCGACGAAACATAGCGATGGCTCGTTCAAACCCCATATATTGCACGGGTCTGGTGCAGTCCAAGAAACACGCCACTGCAGCTTAGCAGCCGGAAGCCCCATCAAACCTGGCTTGACAGAGAGCGTTGCCAAGTCGAGCATGGGCGAAACACGGTTCCAGTTACCGCACTAGAAAGAACGGCGACGTCTTACGGCACGCGCGTGTCAAAGTCGGCGACGACGAGGTACCGCATGCGCATCTGCGCCGTGTTGTACACGATGTACTCGTTGTACTCGAGCCCGTTCTCCGTCGCCAAGTCGCTGCGCGCGAGCTTGCCCATGGGCACCGTGACGCCATCTACACCGGGTGCGCGCGCCGTCACGAGATGCAAAAAAAGTACCTGGCATGATGTGGTCAAAGCCAGAGTCGGGCAGGTACGAGCCGTAGCCGTGGACGCTGTCGTACGCGACGCCGTCGACGCGACGCTTGGCAGACGCGTCCGACGCGGCCGTCACATACGGCGTGCCAAGTGCCACCTTATTATGCCCGTGGGAGAAACTGGTGAGGAAGGAATTCAACTGCGTACCTCGCAGAGGGCAAGGAGCCCCACCTTGTTCGAGTGGCAGTAGCCCACCGAGCGCGACACCTACCCCTTCTTGTTGTCGCGGTCGCCCGCGAAACGCGTCTGTACCGAGTCGCTAAAGTAGAGGCCGGTCCCAAAGCTCTGGCCATTCGTGCGGACATTGGCCGGCGCAATCTTCAGACCTAGTACGTACGTCAGCAGCACCGAGCGCGTCGACGCGGCGCACCACTTTGGAGAATGCTCGACCAGTTGGTGAGCGCGCTGCCGTGCCAGAGCAGCTAGTAAGTACGCGTGAGCCATATATCGTCCACCCCACGATCTGCACCTTGCGGTTGTGCAGCGTCGCAAAGGCCTGGAAACGGTCCGACTCGATCTGCACCACAGCATATGGCATAGCGAATAACGCGGCAGTCTACCTGCTTGTCGACTTGGTACACGCAGCGCAATGTTAGCGAAAACTTGAGGGGCGCCTTGGTATTGTCAAAGTACGTTTGAATGAGCGTGCGCGCGGGCGAGGCAAACGAGAGCAGCTGCAAGTCACAGCGAAGAGCCTGGAATTGCACATAGAGCGGATCCTGCAGCGCGGCCTTGGGCGTGACCTACACCGCCGATTCTACCATGCACAACATCATGATGGACGCGTACAAGAAAGTGTGTCGTCAGAACGCTGGCCATGGTGTCGATGCGAGTCGACGTGTCGAGCACGTGGCGGCCAATGAACTCGTGCCCAAAGCAGTGGGGTACGACTACGGACGCGCTGTCATCCAAACCGCGATAGCGTCACGAGCAGCCCACGGGCGTAAAAGTGGTTCGAGAGCAAAACCAGTGACGAGCGCTGCCGCGTGCGCGACGGCGCCGTCGCCAAGACGCTGCGCATCTCGTCCAGGAGCGCGATGGCCTACAGCACCTCTTGTCCAAGAGTCTCAAATCGCATATCGCGTACGCGGTCGATCGTATGCTTGGAGAGCAGCACCTACGCAGCATCGTAGATACATCCATCCACGTACGACGACGGACTGCAAACTACCGGCAGCGGTGTCGGTGTTGGCGTCCGCGGACGAAAATTGCACTCGGGCGGCAGCAGGGCCATGACGTGGCGCACCTCGGACGTCAAATGCTGCGGGCGTCCAAGGTCCACGTCCACGAAACTAAGCGTCGCGCGGGATGCGTAGCCAATCAAGGACGAGGATACGCACGTGTAGTCGCCTCGGGCGTCGTGGAGGAAGCGGTTGCGCCATGTGATGCCCGTCTTGGCCAAGAAGGCCGCTTGAAACTTGTGCAGGGCGTCGCCCACATTGGCCGCGACGACGCATTTCGTACTGCTCGCCTAGACGACGACGATATGCGGCGGAAGCTGCAGCGTATGAGAAAAGCGCTTACGTCCAGCGCAACGTCATGGCCGTAGTGCATCTCGACGTGCGTCATGCGCTCCCAAAGGTAGTAGCTGCCGTTGTCGGTGCGCAGCACTTGCAAGTGCAGTTCGCGATTCTCTTCTGCACCCATGTCTACCTACGTCATAGGGTCGGTGTGGGAATCGTCTTGGTGGCCTACGCGATGAAGGCGCGCCGAGAACAGCGTGTCCTTATCGGCGTGCACGGCTGCCGGCCCGAGGTGCGCCGTCGCGGCCGGATCGACGTGGTGCGTCGTGGCAGCGGCCAGCTGCGACCGCTTGGGCTTTGACGCCTTGATGACAGTCGTTGTTGACGGCTTGCGCTCTTTGCCTGCCTTCTTCATGCTCGGATATGCGATTCTTTCAACGTCGACTCTCGCACCCGTTGGCGTGGGACCCGGCGCATGCACGTGAGACAACGAGCGCGACAGGAGGAGAGGACTGCATATCGAAGAGAAGAATGTGGCAGAAGAAGAGGTCTATTAAGAGATGATGGGCGATACAAGGTCGCGCGCACCAGGAGAAAAGTCGAGGAGTTACTTGTCGGCCTGCTTGCTCTTGCTCTTCTTTGTGTATTCGCGCGACGGCGGGATCGGAAGCACGTTGGCGAGGCCCAACAAGAACGAGACGCGGTCGCTCGGCTGCGCGCCGACGCTCAGCCAGTATTTTACCCGGTCGTTGTGCACGCGGAGCTCCTTGACGCCGTCCTTGGCCGCGATCGGGTTGTACGTGCCGAGGATCTCGAGGTGGCGACCATCACGCGGGCAACGCGCGTCGGCGGCGACGATACGGTAGAAGGGCGAATGCGTGCGACCCCAGCGCGCGAGGCGAAGACGGACAACCATGCTGGCAACGAAGACGCGGAAGTTGAGCAATGGTACCGGCAGACCTCCACTGGTTCTTTTAGCCAATGGCATCGCGTGACGATATTTTGACCAATCGCTGCGTCGAATTTGCAGAATCCTCGTCGCAATGGAATTGATTGCGAGCGTTGCAAAAGGCGGCGTTGGCGTCCACGAGGAGAGGCCACTTCAGCGCCAGGGCACAGATCTCGATCTCATCTTACGGGTGTCAGGAGCTTGTCAAATGCGCTGTGGAGCGAACGCCGTCGCAAACAGAGTTGGGTGGAAAAAACAGTCGTCAGATCTTATTGGCTGAAATTGGAGGCATTCTTGCAAATTTTACTCCAATCGCGTTCGAACCGTCGCCACAAGATCCGCGGCCGATGCTGCCAGCGCGGGGCCTGCGGCTTGCCACTGCAGCGTCGCCGCTCGTCTTTGTCATTGGCACGAAGAAGAAACACCGAGTTGAGCTGACCAATTGCGAGGAGGTAGCCGTTGTCTTCAAGGTGCAATGCACCGAGTCGTCGCGCTTCCGCCTGCAACCGTCCAAGGGTGTCGTCGCCGCCAACGCATCCGTCGCCGTGCACATCCAACTCGCATCCCATGTAACCACGTCCCATGGCTCTACGGCTCTCTCACGAATACATTGTGGCTGTATGTAGAGCATGGACGAAGCTAACTGCACCTTTCTCGTCCTCTCCAAGGCTGCGTCGTCGCCAGACGCCATTGCCAGTGGCGCTTGGGTCAAGGATGCTGATGTCGCCAAGCTCTATGTCAACGCCGAGATTCGACAAGAAGCCTCCAACGGCGGCGACGTACCCAACATGACTTCTGCATCGACCGAGGCGGCAGGCGAAAGCGATGTCGGCGCTGCACTGTCGGTTGCCGTCGCTGAACGCTTGCCCGAGACACCACAGTGCGAAATGACATATCCACTACCGACATCGTTGGCTCTGGCGATCGAGACATCAGTGCAACTTCCGTCATTGCATACGGAAGTTGCTCCGTTGCCGGAATCGGGGCAGCTGACAAGCCCCGACGAGCGGCGCGTCGTGCGGCTTCTCGTTAAGAACAAAAGCCGAAAGTCATCGAATCGGCTCTCGGACGACGAGGTAGCGTATTTGAGGCAGTGCAAAGCCGCGGTGACACCTTCGCGCTGGCACCAATGGGAGACGAATGCACTTCACGCCCGCACATCGCTGCAAGGCGAAAAGAAGCGGCGAGCGTCCTCTAATGCCTCGTCGTCGTCGGCATCACTCGCGTTGCACGAAGACGACGTCGCGTCGCTGCTCACATCGCCGCGGTACGGCAAGAGTGCCCACTCGGTTGTCACCGAGTCGGAGCAAGCCAGTCTCTGTTGCGGTATGTCGCCTTCCTCTTCTTACGTGTGCCCATGGCTTTGTATTTCATCGACTAGAGCCCGTGGACAGCGTGGATGCCGAGGTGTATGCACCGTTGATCAACGCCGCGCCCCATCAATGTCGCCGGCAAAGTGCGTGCGACGACCAAGGTCGGTCGTGCATGGAGCCTGCGTGCCTCTGGGCGCGGTACATGCTCGATGTATGCATTCAGCAACTCCAGCACACTGTGAGCGTACGCTACCCAATGTTGCGGGCGCCTTGTCATGTTGTGTTCCTAGGTTGGTCGCACGATCGTTAGTTCTCCAGACGACGCCAGCAGCGCGATTGCACGCATCTCCAAGTCGGCCCAAGAGATTGTGATTTTGCACCAAACAAACCCGTACTTTGACGATGGGTTTCGAGCCGACGCGTCGACGTCGCGGCCGTGGCTCGGCTCCACCGAGTCCTAAGACGTCCGTCCACCCTATTTAATGCAACTCTAGCTGTCCGTTGACGACATTTTGAGAACAAGTGCGACGGGCTCTTGTCATATTATGCGAAAATATCGACAGATATCATTTCGCCAAAACCATGACGTGGTACGCTCTCACGATTCTGAAACTGTCACCAGCTTCAACTTGCAATAAGATTGGTCTTGACGGACACAGAAGAAGACGAATGGATTGTGGTCATAGAATGCTCAAGTGGACGTGGCTTCCTCGAGGCACGTGTTCGCGTTGCCGTTCCCACCCGGGTACGTGGCGTCCATGGCCTGGAGGAGGCTGCTCACCGCGTCGTCTTGCGTCACGTCCCAAGCAAAGACACCGCGGAGGTTCATGCACGCGGAGAACTTAGCTTTGGCCGCGATGGACGTCGGGTTGTCGTACGTGATCTTTCGAGCGCCCTTGACGAGCTGCGGCGTGAACGACGCCTCGTTCATGGAGGAGGCCCACGAGCTCTCGAGCGGCTTGATTTCGCGGTACGTCATGGCTGTCTTGCCTTCGTAGCCGTAAAACGGCACGCCAACAACGAGCTTGTTGGCAGGGACACCGGCGTCGAGCCAGTTGGCCACCGCTGACTGGACGCTGCTGTCGTCGCCCATCAGCGCAGCGTTCGGGCGGCCATCATTGCTGTACACGTTGTCGTAGAGCATGAGGTTGACAAAATCGAGGCTCTCCTTGATGATCGGCGTCATTTGGTCGCGCGAGAGCCAGCCGGGGATCGCGGCCGACACGACTTTGTCGGCGCCGAGCGCCTGGCGCACTTGCTGCGCGAGGACGCGGTAGTTGTTGAAGTCGCTGTCGCTGTCGGGAAATTCCCAATCAATGTCGACGCCTTCGAGGTTGTACTGGCTCACAAGCGAGTGCACGGCTTGGACAAACGTGTTGCGAGAGGCTGCGGACGCCGCAAGCGGTGGAAAGTTGCCGCTGTCGCTGCCGCCACCGATGCTAAGGACAGGCTTTGCCCCCTTGGAGCGCACGACTTGGGCAAAGTGCGCGAGGCCTTTGGGTGTGGGCAGGGACCCGTCCGCGTTCGGGATCGCAAACGCGTAAAAGACGTGGGTCGACGCCTTGAGTTGGATGTCTTCGATTGGGGCCTCGGCATAGTTGGGGTAGTAGACACCGACGACATGCGACGCCGCGCTTGCTTGCGGAAGGGCGACAATGGCGAAAAGGGTGAGTGCGAGCGAGGCACGGTACGACTTCATCACTGTGAGGTGGACGAGGGAAATGGGATACTAAACGTTAGGGAGGCAGCTGATACGCATTGTACCGCTCGCATTCACATCAAATATCCTTTTCGAAGAACTTGCATGCGAGCACCAGCTGGTCCCCATGCACACAACAGCTTATTGACGCCAAGATGTATTGTGGGTAGATGTGGTACCATGGCAGAGTCGCAGGCTAGTGCGCGCGACTTGCGCGTCGCTTTCGTAGTGCAGTCGTATTTAGAACACATCTGGTTTGGATTGTAGTGGGGCAAAATGACGTGGCGCCCCCTGCGGTCTCGGATGGCCCATTCGGAGAATTTACAAACGACGGCAACGCCTGTACAACTCTGATTCTAGAGACAAACAAGATCGCACAAGGGGCGATCCAACCCTGCCACCGATGTTGGTCTCTACCACACGGCTATGCTGCAGGTGCTGTTGGAAATCAGTCTCTTCTTTTGACGAGCGCCGACGACGTCGTGCATCGTGTCCGGCTCGCCGCGCGACGCAGCTGCAACACGACAGAAAAGGATCACACATCATTTAGACTTTCGCACAATACGTGGGCACCTCGAAGTAGAGCATGCGAGACGAATCGCAGCTCCGAGTCCGTCGTCCAACAAGCATGGACGACTCGCCACGAGCGGACCTGCTAATTTTTGCGAGCGAGGACATTCTTAAACGAGTTCATTTCGTACCTGCTAGTGTTTCCTTGTGTACGATACAATCAAGGACATACATGTTCCTGCCTTTGATATCGTTTTCTTTTGATTCACGGGTCGTTCGTTGGTGAACGTCTAATCTCACTTGTGTACCAGTGTCGTGATTAGTTCAAATGTATTTTGTTAAGAGGGTCAGTCAGTGTGGTATAGTTGTGACGAATTTGCTCGCTCGCACGAGGCTCAGCCGCTAAAATGACGCCAACGTTCGAGCTAAAATGACATGTCCATTTGATCGCCAGCCATGGTCGTGTGGAAAACGTCGCAAAATGGTGTTCGTGTGGGAGCGACTTGGTTGTGCTGGTATCTTTTCGCGGTGGTCTCTGGCTACATTCAGGACATTTCTGCACTCAGCTCTGTACACTGCCCGTCCGAAAGAAATTCCTTGCGAGCGCTCCCAACCTTCGGTATGACATCGCTCGCTCAGCCGCCCGCAAAATGGCTCGTAGTAAGGTGGGGTCCGTGTACGTAAAATGGGGATCTTGAAGTTTACGTACACGATATACAAAGAAAGAGGAGAAAAGGATTGAAAGGTCTTCAGCACGGTGACTCACCGTGCTGAAGACCTTTCAATCCTTTTCTGATGCTCCACGTGTGTCACCGTCGGTGACACACGTGGAGCATCACGTGCAGTGACGCGGCTTGAGTTGTTTGTGATGCCTTTTAACCAATCAGTCAAATGCTTTTCATCATAAACCCATGGATTACGCTGTATTTCGTCCAGTAGCCGCCATTGAGGACATAAGAAGGCACTTGGATTGGCTAAAATTTGTTAGATATCATCGTCGATCTGGTTTTATTTTATTGCTTACAAATATGTAGAGCCCAATCCATTTTATTATCGACGTCAAGGTCGTGGCCAATCACATGTGCCGACTCAGTTTGCATCACGTCAGCCTACTGACGCAAAATGCCGCGCGCCGTAGACCCGCTCATTTCTGCATGCAAAGACATTCTCAAGCACCACCGGGTGCCGTCCTTCTACGTCTGCACGGGAATCCAAGGCATGTCGCTGCGCCCAGTGGTGCGCGTCCAGGGCCTCCGTGACCTTCTAGCGCTGCCGCTGTCACCGTCGCAGCACCAGCAGCTCAGCGCGCGGTATGGCAAGGCCCGCATCGTGCCAGCCTCCAAGGTCACAATTGAGAACCAAGACGCTTTTGTGACCGCACTCGTCGACTCGGTCGTCGGCAAGATCGAGTCGGTGCTCGGAATTCAAACAACCGACGTCGGTGCCGTCTTGTAGCACCTCTGCATCGACACAAGTGGGGGGACCAACACGCTTTACGCTTTGCAGGGCTGCGTCAATAATGCGTTTGGGACCTTGATCGTGCTGCTGCCGTCGGGCCACAGCGGCGGTGTCCTTACGTTCCAGCACAAGGACCGGTCGATGACGTTGCCACACAATGTCGCTGACGTGGCAAAAGGGTTTGACGGTATCTTTATCAACACGATGATGACATCGACGCCGATCACGTCCGGTCGCCGCCTCGCGCTCGTCTTCCACTTGACGGGCGTCCATAAGACGCCAAGAGGTCCGTCGCGGCTGCCGCTCAACGCGACGGGCTGTGCGGCCAAGTTGAGAACGCTCGCAAACGGACCGCTGCCCGAGTGCCAGCGCATTGCATGCGGCATCGATTACCTCGATGATGCGCTCTGAGATGCGGACGAGAAAGGCCTGGACGACTACGACTTCCACAAGCCCTACGAACAGTACAGCGAAGAGGCCGACGAACCATTGTTCCCGCAGCTGTGGCCCAAGCATGCGCACCTCGCCGACCTTCTTGTGGCCACTGGCTGCTTTGACGTGGCGCTCGTTCGGTTCTCATTTCGACCAATACACATACGTTATGACAGGTGGCATCTTACCTATGTCGGCACCTCATTCAACGGTATGTAGCTCCACCGAGAGCGATAGCGACGACAACGGAGTGGATACAAGCGTGCTGACGAACCAAGTCAAGGCATTCGAGTTCCATCCGTCGTGCGTCGTGCCAAAAGTAGTCGGCGAAAGGCTCTACGGCATATCTGTCCACGCCTTCCTCGGCAACTACAAGCCCACCGAGGGAGGCCTGTGGGTCGACGTCCCTTCGCAGACAGCTCTCCTCTTTTGGCCCAAGCGGTTCCGCGCGGGCATTGTGGGCATGAAGACGTCCTTGTCGCTGCTCCGCAAGGCGGTTCGCCGCGGCGACCCGGACTGCTCCAAGCTGGGGCTAAGTGTCAACGAGCTTGCTTTGGGGATTATGGTCATCTTCAAGTCTGCGTCCTTTGACTACCAGGACGAAGAGCGGGCGGGCAGTGCTCGCGACGGTAGCACTACTCTCTTTGGCGACCTTCTCCGCGCGCTGAACGATGTGGACTTGATCGAGTACTTCGTCGCCGAAGCCGTGTCCGTCTCGCCGACAGACGGCGCGTCTCGTTGCCCCATTTTGCTGCCCGATGTCGCCAGCTGGGTGCGCGCGTGCTTTAAGGCGTATGGGTGGCCACGCCTCTCGTCCGCCTTCCATCGACTTTGCGGCGCTGGCTCCACACGGAAAACCAACGCAGCAGCGTCCCGGCGCTCGTGTCGCACCTCGCGGGTCTCCCCAAAGAGGCGCCACGGCGTCTCGAGCAGCCGTTCTTTGGCGCGTTTCTCAAGGCGTCTTGGTACGATGTGCAATCGCATTCGCCTTTTGCGGACGGCGCGGACGCCCACTGCCTCCTCTTGGACTGGCACTTTGAAACCATCTCGCCCGACCTCGTGCACTGCGACTGGCTCGGCGATCGGCTGCCCCTCGCGCTTGTCGCGACGATCGATGCCTTTCTGCGCCCGCGCCGATTTGGCACCTGCGCAGGTCCGTGCTCGCGCGACGTCGGACTCTGGCGTCTCGACCACGTGCCCACAGCGCTCATGAAGGCGATCGAGAGCCAGCCTGGCGTGCCAACCACGCCGTACACGGACGCCATCCTACATGCTTTGGACGCGATTCCAGTCGCCCAGTGGCCGTGGCGATCGGTTTGCGAGTTTACGTCGGCGCAAGGCGCCGCGCTCTTGAGCTGCATGCACTTGTGCAACCGCGTCGATCCAGCGCTGCTCGACGTCCTCGTCGCGCTGTGTAGCGAGAACGAGTCCAAGAGCAACAGCTCGGACCATGCTGTCGTCAAGTTTTTCCAGGCTCAGCCACGGGTACTGGTCCTCGATGCGGCGGTCACGAGCCACTTGGTGGCGTTTCTGCTCACCAATGCGGCGATGCTACCGGAACTCGTGAAACGGAGCACGCGCTGGTGGACCCTCGACGCGTACGCGCAGCTCGTGGCCGACGAGATACTCGCAACGCCAGTCGGTGACTGCGTTTTGGCGCGCGTTCAAGCCTGGGTCGCGACGCTGCCGTCGACGCGCGACGCGAACCGGCACGTGGTGTACGTGGTCATTGCCAAGCTTTGCTCGGAGAAAAGCCCTGCGCGCTGCCGCACCCTCCTCGGTTGGCTCGCGACGACGTGTCGAGATGCGTTTGTTCGCAGTGGCACGCTAGAACCCGTTGCGGGTATCAACGATTGCGTCCTCGACGACATTTGCGTCAACCGTCGCCACTGCGCCGAGTGCAAGGCGCTGCACCGCTTCTTCCTCGACGGCACCAAAGTACAGCGCCACATGCGGCGTCATGTGTGCCCCAATGTGCACGCGACGGCGACCGCCCACCACGGCTGGCTGCGCTTGGAGCCGGTGCGGATTGATGGGCATTGGGCAACGCTATTGCGCAAGGTCCAGCAGGCAGGTCGTATGCCGATTGCTGACGCCGCGCGCGCCAACAAGTACCACGCAAGCGACACCAAGTGCGTTGAGGTGCTCCAAGCCATCCTTGCCCAACTGGAAACGACAGTCGCATGAGGCGGACGTCTGACGTCCGAGATCGACCTTCGAGGATGACATTCAACGGATCGATGGAGAAAGTGTATGAGCTGGTACCTCTCTTGTCTACTTTGAAACGAGATGGTACTGTCCGTTGGTAGGACCAGATGTTGGGATTTGACCGGAGGATTTGACCGTGGATTGCGTTGGTTTAGCTTGCGGATGATCTGTGGCATCCCTCTCGTCGCAAAGTTGCAGGCGACGATTGCGTGGCATCAAAACGACCTCAAGGAAGAGGTTGCTCGGTTGTGGGACCGAGCAATAGGTAGCGATAGCAACGATCTGTCGATCCAGCATGGCGCATGGCTTAGCACCTCAGCAAACGATAGACCTCGAGCACAGAGAGAGCTATGGAAGTGGTAGTCAACTGACAAGCATCTACCCACCTACGTACCTACCTACAGCTACCTACAATCGATCAAAGAGCTGGCACCCCCGCACAGCGAAACTTGGCGTACGTGCTACCATAGGCCGCGACAACCGTCTTCCTTATATATAATATTAACTACGCCTATACTACCTACTAAAACTCTGCTCATGGCTGGAGCAAGCTCGACTTGTCCGAGTGTCGTCGAGGCGTGTCCACCAACGCCTCGTCGTCATCGACATTGTGGCCCGGCGTTGACTCTGACTTGTCACTACTGTCGGCAACATCCGCAGCCGGCTCGGTGGTCTCGGCCGCTGTCGCTGTTGCTTCCTTCGATGCTTCAGCAATATCGACGACGACGACATTTGCATCCAACGAGGGCTCGTCCGGGAGGTCGTTGCTCTCGGAGCGGTCCTTGGTCGCTCCCAGCGGCGTCGGCGTATCCAAGTTGCCGGCAAGGAACGTCATGGTGCGGACCTTCTCGGGAAACTCGTCGTCGGCGCGTTGGAGCATGTAGTCTTGGTAGCTCGGCATAAAGTTGTGGATCGCATCAGCGACAATGTCCTTGACGCTCAGCACCTCCTTCATATTCTTGACGACCTCCGACTGCGGAATCGCTTCGCACGTGTTCTACACCAGCATGAGCGCCTTGCCAAGTGGATTGAATCTCCACACTCGTACCTTGAATTGGCCAGCGCCAAACGAGAGAACGTAGAGGACCGAGACGGGCGCCATCTCGAGCGCGAGCACAAAGTCGTTCCACGCAAACGCTTGCTCCTTCGTGATGCGCGGGAGGCCGCCAATCAGCAAGGTCTGCCAAAAGGTCATGAAAATGACACTTTTGACCGCGAAAAACTTGAGCACGGGCGAGAACGGGGCAAGAATGTGCTTGGTCGCGAGGTAAAAGATGAGCAAGCCGTAGAGCGCAACGCTGTAGCTGAGGTTGTAGACGAGCCATGTGAACCACTGAAAGCCGACCGAGTCGTACATGCCGATGCCAAGCATAAAGAGCGAGAGAAGCGCCATCGTGGGCTTGAGAAACACAAACTGGATCGTCGCCTTCTTGCAGTTGCGCAAGAGCCGGCCGTCGCGCGCCATGGGCGGCAAGCAGTACCCGAACGGGAACGGGTGCACGATCTCGGCCTCTGTCACCATCTTGGACACGCAGTTGGATTCACCGCCTACACATGGCCGCCCATGAGCCTCCATCGTCGCTGCGTGTAGCCTCATGTGGCGACGCACCGGCAAAGGCGAGGACGAGGTTGAGGAAGCTGTAGACGACAAACGCCTCGTACATGTCGCGGACGGCGTTGACGAGCGCGGCCTCGCGCACAAACTTGAACGAGACGAACGACCCGATCGCGTAGACGGGCACGATGAGCAGGATGCGAAGAATGTAGCGCTGGAGGTTCGGGCGCGTGTACGCGCGAAGGTGCTGGTACATGTTGAGAGCCGTGAGGCTGGTCGCGAAGAGCGCCGAGAGCGCCGCGATGAAGAGGCACCAGCCGCGCTGCGTCTCGACGAGGTTGAGCGGCAGCCCAAGGAGCGTGCCATTGCCCGTGACGTTGCCGCCGAGGACCACGGTCACGTTGACGCTCTCGGCGGGCTGGAACGCAGCGTCGGGCATCATCGGGCGGCGGACGAAGCGCAAAAGTGGCAGGCCAGTTCCGCGGCTGGCATCGTATCCGGATCCGGATGCGAAAATGCTGATGTTAGGTACCGGGTATGTATGTGGCCATGGGACCGGAGACCGATGGGACATCGCTGTATGGACACGTCGTGGGACACGGGCTGGCGACGATCGATGGTGTCGTCGAGGAAGATCGGTCGTCAACTATATAAATATATATATATTTGTTGGTGTTTAGACGTTGCTAATGTTGGTTGCTGTCATAGCGGCGGTCGAGCCATGGCAAGCGCAAGCTTGCAACTCTCGACTCGACGAAGGAGAAGCACAGGAAGCCAATGCGATGTTACGCCGAGCTGAAATCGTTGAAGCGGTTTGGCGTTGCAGAGCGACGCAGCTGCCAACGCGTCTCTACAGCAAAGAACCGCAGTCCATCGTAAAATGACCGCCCAGATCCAACGACAATGGAGCGAGCGACCGAGCGAGCGATGCAGTCCGTTGGGTGACACGGCGATAACGTGCAGGAGATCGAAGGGATAGGACGGCGTCGTCGCGTTGACGCTGAGTACACTGTATACTGTGAGGAGAAGCAGAGACGAACGCAATCGGTTGGGTGCGTCAGGCTGGGTGTGCATAGAGCACGCTAGCAACCACCGTGCATCGCGCCTTGACGCCAGCTCATGTGTTCAAGTATTGATGCCAGGTGGTCGAATCGAAAAGTGAAAAAAAGGGTGAAAATGTGAAAATTATTTCCTTTTGGCGCGAAATTCAAACAAAGTGTCGTTCGCACGCTGGCAACATCCAGTACTGCGAGAGGACAGGCACGTCGTCGGTGGCACCCGCCTCAAATGTTGCCGGTCGTCAATTGCTTGATGCACTATACGATGTACATATAGACAGCTATACGAGTGCTAGTATTTCTTAGCCGTCGAGATTGTGGTCGTTCAAGTCGGTGGTCATCGGGCAGGTGTGCGTCAGAGCCGGCTAAAATCCGAATTTCAAACGTACTGGATATGTTGGACCATCCATTGTTTTGGGAAAACACCATATTGAATACATCGCTCTCGCTACCTCTTGTTGAGCCCGATGCATCCTGTATGTGGGCCTGGCGGACGGCGTCGCAAAACAGCCACACACCAAGCAAGGTAGTGTACAAACAGCATTCTTAGCGCGTTGGGTTTACACGGCAACGAGGTGGGGAACGCTGCTCAGCTTGCGGTGGCGCTTCACTGGTCGGAGCGCGATCGTCGGCAGCAACATCGCACGCCACCAGGGCGAGCCAAAGACGCGCTCGACGTTTCGCCGCATCGCCGCCGCCGAGAGGGTCTTGCGCAGAGGCTCGCTCCTGCGTCAACGTGTCTTTCATCTC